CGGTATAATATTGTACTACCTTGTAAGTTGTGATTGGTGCACAACATGCGGCTTCAATAATGATATCTGCCATATCCAGTTGCATTCCAATATAACGCAAAAAATTTGTATCAAGTTTTCTAATCTTTTCTTTTATTAAATCATGTAAATACTCAAAATTTTCTTCTTTTTCTAACATGTTCGTTAAAGTATGGTATTCTCCATCACGTTCCCTATCAACGTTAATTTCGTGTACCCACACTGTCCTTTGTGATAAAATGCATATCGCCGCCCCAGCTTCTTCCATTTCTTCCTCAAATTCGTCTGAACTGTCCATGATCTTTTCAAATGCTCTAACGCTCGTATGCATAGTCGATCGCCAGCGACTCGCCGAAGTTTACCTTGGAGACTTTCCGAAGAAATCCCCGGAGAAGGGTCGGAGTTTAATTTGTATTGCATAGTACGTCTCCCAGAGCTTGCCACTTCGGCACGTCGCCGGAAATCTAATCATACGCAATTAGATCAAATATATTGTGACGTTACATGTGATGACGTTTCAGAACCAATAGCTTTCGCGCTATTTAAATTTTTAGTAAAATTTGAAAGAAGTTACGTGATGTAAATACATAAAAGAACATTATATCTACTGTCATAGTACTGGCGTGAGTCCTGAGTTGAGTACTGTTATAAGAAATTCGTTTCCCTCCAAATACAAAAAAATACGTTGACCAGCGTGGCATGGCGTCGCATCACGCAAATACGTACAGTCGATGATTTTAAGCGACGTAACGCTGCATTGTGTTTAATCAGATAAATGTGTTCCTGCCTTAAGCATTTGATAATCGCGGCATGTAAAGCTGATCATAATAATTACTACTAGTCTATACAGGGTGGGGCAGAATGCAGTCCCTACTTTCAAAAACTTACTGTACGGCGCCCAAACCGAATAGAGAGGTGGTTCAGGTGCCGTTAGGTAGGGGGAACAATACCGTTATCAGTATCCACCATGCCGTGGTCAGGTGAGCAACGGCGCTTTGTTGTGGAGACGTTCTTTAAAAACGGGGAAAATGTTGTGGCGACGCAGAGGCCTTCTGGAGTTCCTAAAAAACACGTTGTGCGATAACATGCTGCTGCGCTTCGAATATCGTCCAGAACTGTAAGGCGAATCTTACACTCAGACCTTCACCTACACCCCTACAAGATGATGAGTGCACGGGAATTGAGCCCACAAGACTTTGTGAAACGTAGAGACGCTTGCAAAGCAATCCTAACTGCTGCACCCCCCGGTATGGAATGATGGTGGCGATTGAGGATGTCATCGGTGGATTTTCGCAAGATATACTGGGAAGAGTGGCCAAAAACTTCTTTGAAAGACTTAATATGTGTATTGCTCGCCAAGGCCTCCACTTGGACAAAAATTTAATTTAATGAAAAAAAACGGTATCATATGTACTTTTGAGCAATAAAATCTTTTTTTATTTATCTCGAACCGTTGTCTTACAATTAACCCTTCAAATCAGGGACTGCATTCTGTCCCATCCTGTATAAGTAAATTCTATATATTTTGATGTATTTTCTTTATTGTCATTTTTTAGTGCTCAACTGTGTGTATTAAATAAATAAGTATGTATTTCTTCCATGACTCTTTCTTCTTATTGATTGCCTGTCGGTCCTCTTCATTCCACCGTGTGTTTTCTTTGTCTGATTATTATAGTTTCTCATTCCAGACACTTCCATAGCTTTAATTCGCATTATCTCTTTTCTTGGTATTTTAGTCTTTCTTCCTCCTGCCTTAGTTTATGGACGTTTATTTTCATGTACATAGTTTTTATCTCTTCTCTTTCGATTTCTATATTTATTATTTTATTCTATATGTATAATGGTTGGTTCCCATTTCTGCTTATGTCTTTACCTTCTCGACTCTGTTTTAGAGATTCCAGATGTATGTGATGTAACTTAGCACTCATACTCTTAGCATTTCTTTTTTCCGCCACAAACGTATATTTACAGTGAGTCAAAGTGAAATTCATACACTAACCAAAATATTACTATTTTTATTACAACTTGAAATGTACTCTTAAAATTTTGATTACTTTTAATAAATTGTTTACATAAATGTATAACCAACCATTACGCATTATGAAGAGATTTAAAACAGCCCTGTTTATAAATTAAAATGTTGTTAAACAATACTATAGTTAAGTAGACCTCAAAATGAAACTCATACAAACATTTAATATAACAAGTAGGCGGAGATTTAATGCGCATGCGCCATTTTTTTCAGTTTGAAACATTTGACGCATTGTTGTTAATGGTTAATGCCATTATTGAAATAATTATCATGGGTCGTCAAAACGGGCAAACAAGTAACGACGTTCTGAAATTGGTTATCCTCCATTACGAAAACGGTGAAAGCCTTCGAAAAATTGGTGGAATTGTGAACCGAAGCCACTTCTACAGTTCAATGTATAATAAACCGGTACAAAAAGACTGGTGAAANAAGAGAAAGACAAAGAACAAAGAATCAGGAAACAGCCAGTTGAAGGGCAAGCAAGTGGCTTTTTAAAACATGTCTAAAATTAGTAATTCTAGAAATATTACGAATTTCAGAAGGCAGTCCATTCCACAACGCAATCGACTGTACTGTAAATGATCTATGATAAATTCCAGTGCTATGAACGGGAAACATCATGTAGTGTTTCCAATCAATAAGTCGTTTATTTGAAAAAATTCCAGCATTTTTTGCCCATTTCTGTTCATCACTGCCTCTTCCTGATCCCCATATTCTCCTATACTACCTCCCCCCTTGTGTTTATCATTACCTATTCTCGCATGAGAGTCTCTCATGTCGGTTTTTTGCAGACTTGAGTATTTTCACCCTTTAATTGTGCTTTAATTTCACTAATACCATTGTTTATGACACAAATTACAAGTCGGTAATAAAGTGCACAGTACGTCAAAATGCGCGGCGCATGCGCGGTGCAGTGATGTATCAATTTGACACATTATGACCGAATTAAGGATTTTCTTTATCCACCCTACTAGATAAGATTAATTGGAAAAACAGAAATAGGAAATCATAATAGAGCAAAATTCATTCACTAACAATAAATCAAAATATCTATGTTGTTAAGTTAGGGAGTTTTGGTCAATACAGTTATTTTTAGTGTTAAGTGGTTGGTAATAATTAATCATACACTTTTGACAATTAAGAAGAAAGGCGGTTAAAAAGTAGTTAACAGTTTGTATCAATTAATTATTATTAAAAGAAGTTTATGCTTTATTTTAAATAAACTTTCTTTTGCCCCACAATTTGTTTGTTTAACAATCTAGATTAAAAGTAAACTTAAAAATTGTGTCAATTTGACAGATAAAGATTAAATCCTTGAAATATAAAAAGAATTACTTAAATACTTACATTGTCCTTCAGAAACAATCACCGATCGAGTTGAGTTATCGCTAATAACCGGGGGCCTCCTCACCGATAACGAAACAGGCGCTGAAATCTTGTTATTAACAGATATAATAACTTGGCACTGGTAAACAGCAGCATCAGTTTCTTGGATATCTTTAATTTGTAACGTATAGGTTGAGCTTCCTTGATCATGCCGGAGAGAAAATCGTGAATCATGAACGATTAGGGTCGCCCCCGTTGAAATTGGAACTCCTTGACCTCCTCCATTTTGATCTAATTTCATCCAAACCACCGGGTATTCATGCACGTATTGTACTGAACATTGCATTTGAGCCGTACCCCCTATATCCACGATTACTTCTTGGGATATATATGATATCGTAGGAGATCTTTGTGACCATACTGTATAAAATAAAATAAAACAAAATTAAATCTTGATTAACGTTGATTTAAACGATAAGTTGAATTAGATTAAACTCACCTGGTGAAGATAAGATTAAAATCGTCGATAAAACCAGATTAAACATGTTTTTGTTTGGGTTGTGATAAAATTGATGACAGCCACGCCTTTTAGACGTTATGTTTGATTGTTTGGAAATAAAAATCCCTAGATTTAATTCAACTAATTTTAAATTATTCACTTTTTATTATCTTCTTTTTAGTAATAAACCGCTTCGTGCGGAGAACGCTTCATTTAAATAACTTTAAAATGACTCATTAATTAATAACAATGAAACGGGTCGAAAAATCTAGGGAATTTTTCGTTTGGCATAAATGACATTTGTATAAAAAATGGCAGGTAAAGGTAAATCTGTGTTTATCCATGAACTTTTTCCAATTTTTCCATTGAATTAGGCTGGAATTACATTGCAGGTGTCCCCGAAACCGACGACCAACAACGTTTACGCTTCCAAATCGAATTAGAATTCGTACAATGCTTAGGGAACCCGAATTATTTAAATTGTAAGTTAACCTAACCTCAAAATACAAAACGATTTTCATTAAAAAAAATCTTTTCTTTGCGTAGTTTTAGCCCAACGCGGTTATTTCAAAGACTCAACCTTCGTTAATTACCTAAAATATTTATTGTATTGGAAAGAACCGGATTACGCCAAATACTTAAAGTATCCAATGTGTTTATATTTTTTGGATTTATTACAATACGAGCACTTCCGAAGAGAATTAGTTAACTCGCAATGCACCAAATTCATCGACGACCAACAAATCTTACTTTGGCAGCATTACACGCGGCGTAGAAGCCGATTATTACAAACTCCCAACGCTAACGGTGCTAATAATGAATCAAACGTACAAAATTCCCAAACAAACGGACATTTAAACCAAAAAATAACCTAATTATTGATATTTTTAAAGTAAATAAGAATTAACATTTTTTTTTTTACGTTTAAGAGTGAGGTTATGTTTGTTTGGGGCGAAAGATTGAGGTTATGTTTGGAATTAAATTAAAAATTTTTTTTTTAATGATTTTTATATTTTAATAAATAAATGATATATACAAAGGAATAAATAAGAAAGGTGTGTTTATTAATAAAAAATAACCTAATTATTGATATTTTTAAATTAAATAAAAATTAAATTTTTTTTTTACGTTTAAGAGTGAGGTTATGTTTGGGATTAAATTAAAAACGTTTTTTTGAAATGATTTTTATATTTTAATAAATAAATGATATGTACAAAGGAATAAATAAGAAAGGTGTGTTTAATAATAAAAAATAACTTAATTATTGATATTTTTAAATTAAATAAGAATTAAATTTTTTTTTGACGTTTAAGAGTGAGGTTATGTTTGGGATTAAATTAAAAACGTTTTTTTTAAGTGATTTTTATATTTTAATAAATAAATGATATGTACTAAGGAATAAATAAGAAAGGTGTGTTTAATAATAAAAAATAACCTAATTATTGATATTTTTAAATTAAATAAAAATTAAATTTTTTTTTTACGTTTCAGAGTGAGGTTATGTTTGGGATTAAATTAAAAACGTTTTTTTGAAATGATTTTTATATTTTAATAAATAAATGATATGTACAACAGAATAAATAAGAAAGGTGTGTTTAATAGTAAGAAATAACCTAATTATTGATATTTTTAAATTAAATAAGAATTAAAAATGTTTTTGACGTTTAAGAGTGAGGTTGTGTTTGGGATTAAATTAAAAACGTTTTTTTGTAATGATTTTTATATTTTAATAAATAAATGATATATACAAAAGAATAAATAAGAAAGGTGTTTTTAATAATCGTAATCATCTCGGTCGAAATCGAG